AATAATAAATCCGTCGGAATTCCGTCGGTTTGCGTAGCCGTCGGAAATCCATCGGTTACCACCGTCGTCGGAAATTCGTCGGAAGTTCTGGCCGTCGGAACTCCATCGGTAAATGATGCCGTCGAAAATCCGTCGGTAATTGGAATCCGACGGCCTTCCGACGGATTCCGGTTATCCCTTTTTCGTCGGAAATCCGTCAGTATTTCCGACGGATTTCTGACGGATTTTTATTTCTGACGAGATAGAACCGACGGACCAAAACCGTCAGAAAGTCGTCGGAATAGGAGTTATTCCGACGGATTTCCGACGGTTTTGGCCATCGGAAACGACCCTGTTTTCTTGTAGTGTAAGAACTTTGTTGACATGCACGAGTACCCTGTTACTACCGAGTTACATAACCAATGTGTCAATATCATTACGCGTCTTTTCAATGCGCCGCTCGGTGAAGGCGAGGCCGGGGTTGGTGTTGGTACGGTGGGATCGTCGGAGGCAATTATGTTGGCCGGATTGGCTTTTAAGAGACTATGGCAAAATAAGCGTAAGGCGCAAGGACTTCCTTATGATAAATCCAATATCGTAACCGGAACTAATGTTCAGATAAACCAAATAAATTTTTAAAACCGGTTTAGCTCTCTTGTTCTTAAATGGAAAAAGTTAAACTGTAAATTTGATATTATAATTGAATTTAGTTTCTATACATACATGTTTTCTCAATTTAAGGTTGACCAAACAAAAAAGGTTTGATACGGTTTTCATTTTTGGAGAAATTTTCTTATGGTATTTCTGATTTTTTTAACCATAAAAACTAAAACTAAGTTTGGTTTAGCATTCTGCTAACACTTAAACCAAACCAAAATAAATTGAAATATTATACCCAAAAGTTGAATTATTCAACCGATTAATGGTTACTACTAAAACGAGAAAACAATGAGATATTATACCCAAAACTTGGTAACTCCGGTTTAAGTCGATGGTTTTCTTAATTTCCGGTTTGTACAGGTTTGCTGGGAGAAATTCGCAACGTATTTCGAAGTGGAGCTTAAGGAAGTGAAGCTAAGAGAAGGGTATTACGTGATGGATCCTCAAAAAGCAGTTGAATTGGTAGATGAAAACACAATCTGTGTCGCGGCAATCCTTGGTTCGACGCTAACCAGAGAATTCGAAGACGTTAAGCTCCTTAATGATCTCTTAGTCGAGAAAAACAATCAGACCGGATAATTAAACAAGAAAACGGATAATGAAACCTAATAATTAATCGATTTAACCGGTTCAAACCCGGTTTAACGTATTTTGAAAACGCAATTTGCAGTTGGGAAACGCCGATTCACGTGGACGCAGCGAGTGGTGGGTTTATTGCACCGTTCTTGTATCCGGAGCTAGAATGGGATTTCCGGTTAACTTTGGTTAAGAGCATAAATGTGAGTGGTCACAAATACGGTTTGGTTTACGCTGGTATAGGTTGGAATATCTGGAGAACCAAATCCGATTTGCCGGAAGAACTTATTTTCCATCAAATGTTCAAGATTGACAATAACCAGCAATGTTATCAAATATTTAAATCACAACACCAAACATGTTTTGTAATCAATTAATAAGAGTTATGTATTTGTTTTTAAAAACTGAAAT